CACGATCACACACACACACACACACACACACACACACACACACACACACATACACACACACACACACACACACACGCACACACACACACTGCTCATTGACAGATGCACAGAATGCCCATCACTACAATCTGATACACAGCATTCAAGAATTCTCAAAAATAGCAATAAACTTCCAAAAGAGCCAATCAACAGCCAACCTGGGAGAGAAATGAACCAATCCTGTTGTGATTCTATGTAAGTTAAGGCCTTAAAATATCAGCTTGAAAAACTGCTCACATAGATGAACTTTGCTATAATCACAAAAAATGAGGTGAAATTGAGTACAGATATAGATCTGGACATGTTTTGCCTAGCTTAGCACAAACATTGATTACTTTTAACATTATCATATTATAAAAGAGAGATATAGCACTGCAAAGAATCCTAAATTTAAATCCAGAGAAGAACTTCACAACAGGAAACAGCAGTGTAAGAAGTTAAGAAGAAAAAAAACATAGAGGCAAATACTGAAAACTCTGTAAGCAGTTTTTTTAAAATAATATTTTACAGGCAAGTCTATATATATTCTCTGATAACCCGATAACGTTTTTTTTAAACTGCCCAATTAAGTGACCATTACCAAGGTGCCAAGTGAGAACATTTGCTTTTAGAAAAGCTTTTTTTTCGAAGAGCAGATCAAAAATTGCCAGACCCTCTTTATCAGCAGTGAAAACACAGGTGCAACACCTGAGAGGAAAGTGCATCTTTAGCACTCCACTTGTTTCCTAGTTGAGTGTTAAAGATAGAGGAGTGTGCACTTGTTTGTCCATTACAGACGGATATCTGTGGTGAGGGGTGTGGAGCACTGGGTGAAATATTTTTAAATATAGGAATGATTCAACATCTGCATCCTCTTTTGAGAAAAACCAAAAGGGTAGGCCTCACTGGATTGTTCAAGATGACACTTGTGTTTCCAACACTGAAGCTCAGTCATGCTGGCAAGACATGTGAAAGCTAAGTTTGCACTTGACCTTTAATTGTATAAAAAATGAATGTCTTCAAGCATAAACTGTGTATATTTATATAAAACAGGCAGAGAGAGAACATTTTCCATCTTCCAGTCTGACCCTCAATTCTTTGAACCAATATTCATAACACCTAATAAAAATCATCTTTATTAGCTTTAACCTACTGCAGAGAGAAGGAAACCAGAATGTTGTTGCGGTTCCTGCTAGCCACCAAGAGAGGTCATAAAAGGCCAGAGATCAATAAGTAAACCGTTACAGGCAAGAGCTGATTGAGGGTTGTGAGAGTGTTCGCTCCAACAAATAGCAACAGAGAGAGCACGCATCCTGCTGAATGGTGACCAGATGGGGACAAAAATGTGTGTGCAGTTTGTGTGTGTGCCACAAGTTGGGTTCCAGTTGCCATGAGCATCTCTTTGAAGGAATAACTGCTTTGAAAAGAATTCAAATGGGAGACGGAGATGATGACGGTGCACTGTACGGTGTGGCTCGCGGGGTTTGTGTGCGATTGGTCGTGCATTTATGCGCGCGCCTGTTAGCTTGTATTTGTGTTTGTTACGTCGACCGTGAGTGTGTGTCAGAGCGGGGTTGACGTCAGGTGCAGCACAGGTGGGCAGCAGGGGGAAGGGATGAAAAGGTCTGCAAAATAAACACACCTGATCTCAGTGGACACATAATGGTAACAGCAGAATGTACTGCCGCAGCCTCGCTCGCCTCGTCTCTCACAGTGAGATCATTTTAGTTTGTTTTGTTGTGTTTTTGTGCTGCCATTTTAAACCAGCGTTAGCATCACTATCGGCCAGAGTGTTCATTACATCTACAACAGGAAAGAGCTGAAGTTAAGTTTTCTTAAGAGTCTGACATCCAAAAAAAAAGTAAAGTTTATTTGGTGTCTGAGGAAATGCTGTAAGCTTATTTAAATCTGGGCTGATCCTAAGGGGACGGAATATTTACATGCGATTTCTCTGTAATTAAACTAAAGCTGAACAGACCAGCCAATCAACAGCTGGTGAAAATGTCAAGGCAGGGTTGGGCCCTCTCATGCTTCTACATCAGTCAGTAATGTTTTTTTTCCCACTGCCTTCTCCTTTTAAAATTCATGAAACCATTGCAGTTTTAGGTCTACATGCAACCTGACCAGCCATGGTAATAGCATGGCTCATAGGATGGCAATGTTGATCTGCTGGTCAGTCTACCAGTGTGATCCTCACTGGAATAGATGAACAACTGTTGGGCCAATTAATCAATCAAATGTTATGGCCTGTCTAGGCGCGGCCAGACCACAACATAAAGGGTGATCCATCCCCGTCCAACCCCAAGCAGCACGTCACACACTTAATATTTTGTGACAGTGATTTATTTACAATAAGTGCAGTTAAACAAAGGAAGGGAGCATATCGTAACGTCAGGGTGAACCCAAGGCCAAAACAACAACAACCTTGGGGAGGCCAATCTATGGCCAATATTGTTCCACTGTGAGCTTTTTCTATCCAGCTATGGATTTGCTGCATTGTCAGTTTGCTTGGGATCACTGTCATGCTGAAAATGAAGCCACTGTTTCAAAAGTCTATTAAACCACAGACATCTAGTTTAATAGACTTCACTTCTTTTACTTTTCATACTTTCAGTACACTGTGATGATACTGCTTGCAATGTATACTACTACTACTGTAGTCAATCCAAACTGTCCTTTCAATACACAAAGAAGTCAGACATTTTAAGATGTGAAACAAAGTCGTGCACGTGTTATGCATGACTGTGTATACAGCTAGTGTCTGCTTGTATACGCATATGTCGTCATGTTGTTGTGTTGTGTTTCTCAGACAATAAAATCTGACTGTGGTATTTCACTGTGTAAACAAGTTGACAACAGGAAACAAAGAATTGAGTGAGAGAAAAAAAAAGCATTTGTGACCAAAGTTTCATTTCTTCCCCTCTTCTGCCACTCTTGTGTGTATGTGAGTGATTGTGTGTGTGTGCGTGCATGTGTGTGTGTGTGTGTGTGTTTATTGTGCGTGTGTGTGTGTGTTTGAGTTTTGCAGCAAGGACAAACAGTGCCCCCTGGGGATGAGTCTCCTTCTAGTCTCCTCTCCTGTTTTTATTCTCTCCTTTCTCCCAGTTATTGCTTCCTTTTCAGCTTCCCTCTTATTCACCTTTCCCCTTATTCTGCCCCCTCCCCTTTCTCTTCATCCTCTACTTCTCCTTTGTTTCATTCTCTTTTCCTCTCTCCATCTAATGTGTCCCCATTTTCTTGTCCCTTTGCCAGTTATGGCTGCCAATAAGATAGGAGGAGGGGGAGCAACAGGGGGAGTGAGGCTGAGGGACATAGAGAGAGAGGAGTGCTGTGGCCAAAGAAAATCCACCTGCAGCCTCAGCAGACAGAAAAAACTCACATCATACTCCTCTGTTCACTCCTTCATTCCTCTTCCTATCCAATTTCCTGCACATTCTTATAATGTCTGTGTTACCATCAATAAATGCAGGGCTTTGAATTTTTCCTGAAAATCAACATTAGGTCCAATCTAAACCACGCACGCTGATTAAAGCCAGCCAGACAAAAAAACAAAACAAAACAAAAAAACAGGTACTAGAGCGCGGTCAGAAATGAAAGCATGATGCAAGAAAAGAAAAGTACGACAGATGTTTTCCTTTTGTAATTTAGAGCATCACTCAGCACTAATAAAGTGATAAAAGTGGGGAAAATCTGCAAATATTAAAAATCACAAATCTTAAATGACACTGCAATAATAGATAATAATGACAACATGTGTACACAGGACAAAATATTATACAATTTAGAGGCACAAATGGATGACATGATGAGTGGATAGACTCACAACATTAAACCACATTTGAACTAAAAGTACATTTAGCTAATAGAAGCAGGCTTAAGAGGAAGAGGGCAAGATCAAATAGGCAAATTAATTTTGAGTAGTAAAGTCAACAAAAGAGAGACTCTCTGTTTCTGATGCTTTAAAAATAATAGCTCATACATTTTGTTTTGCTTTTTTATTCTAATTATTTTTATGTCTTTTGTTCAGCTGAATTACATAAATCTTAGTTGTTATGTGGCAATCAATAATTATAGATGCAGACACGAAGAACAATCACACTGGATTTATTGCATTTGACTCATTTATATGTTTGTTCCTCTTAAGGTTTGGGGAAGTACTAAGGGTGCACCTGCGACTGCTTTCCTAACAGGTGGTTTTCTGCTGGTGACTTCTATCAGCACATAATTGTTACCTTTCTGCTGTAGCAGCAGAGACACAATATATTGTCAATATACTGTGGACTGATCATATGAAAGAGCTGGACTGTGTGTGGATCCTGGAGGACTTCCTGTAATAAGTGTTGCAGAAAGCCTTTC